TTCCCTGAATGTTCCCATCTCTCCTTCGGCATACTCCCTCATCCCTGATTCATTGCCAATAAATCACAGAGAGAAAGACACACACAGAAAGAGTGAGACAGAGTTAGAAAGGGGGAAAAAAGACTGATATAAAGAGTAAAGGAAAAGGCCGAATAAACCAGGAGTGAAGCACACTGGAGACTGGAAAACAAAAACGAGGGGAAACCAGATGTGTCCTTGTCAACAGTACACAGGGGCGGAGTTCAGATCGCCAATTATGGCTGAGTGCAATTTGAAACAGTGACGTCTTATTGAAGAAAACAGCAACACAGATGCCATGAAAAACACCATTACTAAACGGATATGCTTTATTTCATGGCTACTGGTCAAACTCTAAACAACGGCAAGAAGAGGAAGACAGATTCAGAAGGAGAGAAAAATAAATACAAGGCTTTCGGGCATACGTGCGTCTCGGACTTCCTTCTTAAGACTTTCCTGCAATTTTTACACATGCAGACGCAAAACATTTAAGTCTTTGTTTGCAAAACATGGGGTAAGGATTAAATTCTGTCTGTCTTTTATGTGGGAACATCTCCCACTCCTCAGCTATGTTTACAATAATCAAAGTCATGAAGAAGTACCAAATAACACTGATTGAAACTATTTCCACATTGCTCTCTCTCGTGTTTCCCATCTGCTAATTACAGAAGCCCACTATGAAAGGGTAATGTGCACCACCTGCAAACCCCACCCAACTGAAGAGGCTTTTGATCATGGCCTTCCTATTGTTTACTCTCCAACAGGGGCCCCTGTTATAACCACAACTACTTCCCCTGTCGAACCAACATCAATCAACATCGCACCTCATTACAACACAAGAGATTTCAGTCACCACTCAAACTCAGTTCATTTATTCACGGGTTTAAATTGTCTCCTAAAATAGAAGCCAACATATATGTCCTTGCGGCATTCCAGCGCTGCAAGGTCCGTTTAGTAACTGCTGTAGAGCAAACGGAAGTAGAATTTAATTTCCACACTGGACATGCGTATCTTTAAAATTTTAACCTAGAAGGCATGCAGTATAAAGTTAAAGTTATCAATAATTTCTCACAAAATATATAATTATAAGCTGCAGCTGCTGAATATTGTGATAATGCCAGCCCGTGTGACAACGTCTAAGTCAACCGCCCTGCTTCTGTTTCAAGAGGGTATACTTTAACCATCGAAGTGCTGTTGCAAGACAGGATGTTCTTCTAAACCTGTTGTTGTTGACATTTCCATGGCAACAAACACAAACTTGATGATGCGTGTTTCCATAGTAACTCGTGTCATTAACCAGGAAGATGCACACTGGCGTGTAGGTGCAAATGAGGTGACGGAGTGACACTGAGATGGAAGCTGATTCATTGTCAGCGTATTCTGCTGCGTCTGTGGCCCAGAGAAAGATGTCCCTGTTCTTACATTATCACTCTGAGCCTGCAGAGACTCTGTGTTTATAATCATATGGCAAACCGTGCAATAAATACTACAAGGCTAAAAATATTTTTGTGTGGGTGAAAGCATGGTGAAAATGTGGAATCATACAATCTAAATGAAATGATTAGAAGTCCTCGGTTAATTATGACTAAAATCACAATGTTTGGGACAATAAAATCTCATTGATCTCATTGACAGAAGACTCGTGCATGCTTACATTCACAAAGGTTTGCAGTTTGGAATTAAAAATAGTGTGGTCTAAAACAATTTCAGCTGGAACGAAAAGAATTCAGGATTACACAATTTCCAGATATGTTTATCTGGAGAAGGAGCTATGTAAACATGCTCTATATACAGAACCTTATCACATCTGCGCTAAATACAGCAGGACAAACTGAACTAATACACTGCATTCAAGTACAAAAGTACCTTAAAAAAGCCTAAAGTGTGGAGGTTGTTTACTTGATCAACATTAGCAATATTAAACACCCAGATTTTAATTTAACCCCATTATAGGAGTTTTAAAATGTTATTGTAACTCGCCTGCCATTAAACCCACAAGAAATTTCCACAAGCCACTTTTTCCATGCAGTTCCATACAGCTAACAAGGCTGCACTGAGGTTTTAGGATAAGCTTTGGTCTGTTACGATGCCCACTGACCATTTCCCAGCTATTTAATATGGAAGCTAGTTGATGATAAAGTACCAGATCAATTACAAATTACTAACTGCACAATCAGAACAGGCAAGCAGATTTTTGCCAAACTAGTTGGCCAAGATCTCCAGTTATTCACAAAATTCCCCTACAGGGTTTCCTGTCTTGATCAGCAGGGGCAGATGGACCCCCTCATTACGGAGACCACAGATGAAAATGAGAGCAAAATGAGGCCCATTACCACACGGGCGTGACTAATATCCCTCTTCAGACCTCTCCACGCACGCTGGACACATGCACACATATCAGACGTGCGCGCGCAACTTACACGTGTGGACAAGGAAAATGCTCGGCGTGCACACCGAGATGCTTGTAAATCAATAACGTTACACAGAAACAAAGACGAGGGGAAGTTGGTAATAAACTTTGGCTCTATTAAATTGACCAGATCTCGGGCTGCTCCGCAGGGGGTGTCTGGCTCATGCACTTTATGAACCTATAGGTTTGTGTCGGTGCGTAAATGTGTGTATATTCCCTAATCATCCCTGATGTCATTAGTGCTAAACACTAGCTCAGCCTGATTCCTCCCCACTAAATATCCTACTTTTTCTCTTGCCCCCCTCACTTTTTCTTCTCTTTCTTCCTAACCACCTCTACAACAACTGACCAATGCTGCATACGTATCCACACATGTGTGCTTCATCTTTTCAAATATCCACTCTGGTCCTCATTTCCTCAAATGTCTGCAGCGGATTCATTACCGTACTGGATTCCACAATCATCAACCTCTAATCCACCGCTAGTCTAGCGCCAGCTTGAGGTCCAAAAATCCTGTTTTACCAATTTGTTTTCCCCTTGTCCTCTACTTTTTCTTTTAACCTTTTATTCCCGTGGCTGTCCTCTTTCTGTACAGTCATGCCATCACCTATGCCCCCTCTTGTCTCAAGTAGCATCTCCCATTTCCCCTCCCTTTGTCATTTTCCACTGAAGCTCATCATTTTGTGGCTTAGATCTATTTTAAGTTTAAGTTTCAGCTGAATTGATCCAAAATAAACCACAGGAGATACAGAATTCAAAATAGTGATATCAAGGGTTTACAATTTTCCATCTAATGATCCAATCATAGCCTCAGCTATTTAAGTCAGTCCTCTCTTGCCTTCCCGTCTCTGCCGTTTTATGCTCCTACCTTTGGTTTTTCTCTTTACCTTTGCTGATCAGATCTGCAAGGTGATTTATAGCCTTACAACAGGCTGATAGATGGAGGGAAAAGGAAAGAAGGAGTAGTAGATCAAGAGGAGAGGGGGTGAGGAGAAATTGGGCTGTTTGGCGTTTGAAGTACATGAAGGAGTAATATAAAATACACCTGGTTGGTCCATGGGGCACTCTGTTCGCTGAAACAAAGGGAGGGGAGGGAGATGCAGGGGAGGAGAAGAGGAGAGGGCCAGGCCGCAGGGGAGAGAGGGGAGAGGAGTGGATGGATTGGGGGGGAGGGGTCACTCAGTGTTTCCTTTCAGGATGGCTTTTATGGTGTAACTTCAAACGCTGACCTCCCACACCCCTGCCCCTATATCCCCCCTGCTCCCTCGCTCCATCCGTCCGTCCGTCCATCCGTCCCTCCCTCCTCTTTCTCACTATTGTGCACGGCCAAGTGGACAGTAATTGGCTATTCTTTCGTGAGGCTGATTTCAGCACTCTCTGCCCCCACCCCACAGGAACAGTCCCTTTTGCTGCCCCATAGAACTAAGTGTATTTGTGTATATATATGTGTGTGCTTATGTTGTAAATAAGCCAGACGATAGGTATCAGGTGGGTTGAAGGGAGGAGGGGGTGGGGGTAGGGACCGCTCTGACATTTCATTCACGTGTGCTCCAAATTACAACACAGGAATTGAAAGGAGCTGAAGCTAATTGAATCCAGAAAAAAGGTCATGCTCCAACATGAGATCTTATTTAAAATAAACTTTTAAGCACACCTTAAATATGTATACCCCTGCTTTCACTGGAAGCAGCAGTACAAAGAGAGAAAATGTGAAACCCTAGAAATAAAGTGGATGTAAAGAGCAGTGTTTTATTTCCTCCTCCAAAATTTTATTCAAAGACTCCGGGGGCACCTAATTTATTCATGACATAAAATACATTGTAGAAAAAGATGAGTAGCTTTGCAAATGTTTCCTACAGTGTACAACATCTGAACATATTGCGAGTGATATATAAAAGCTGCTCCACTCTCGCTAATGACTTCTGGCCCTCTGTGGCTTATAGATCAGTGTGTGTTCATTAATGATGCAGGCGTGTGCAAGTCCATGTGTCAATTAGTGGGTGGAGGGGATTAGCAGTCTCCAGAGATTCCTAATTAACACTACACATACTCACACGGGCTAAAGCATCATTTTTGGATTGTTTTTAATGGAATTTTTACTATTTTATTTGCTGGTAAATGAGAAGAAAACTGTTTGCAAAGGAAAATTCCACGTCAGAAAGTATCTCCTCAATGTCAAAAAAGCGCAATGATGTCCACCTCCCTGAGAGAAACACAGACACCTACCCACACACACGCACACACACTTACCAAGGCCACACACATGCTATGTGATGTATACAAGCTCTTAAAAGGTTAAATATGTAGACAGAGGACACAACATAAACACAGACTTAAACAAGTACAGGGCAGACTGTCCTCACAGACGTAACACATAAACAGAATTAAGGATAATTGTGTTTTCAGAAAAACAAGAAATACTGTAACGATCAGCTACTTTAAGTGGAGAAAAAAAAATCAAGGTGGTTAGAATGAAAGAGGCTTTCAAACAAGCTAGGGGACATGTCCAAGAGTTAGAAGTAGAGCAGAGTGAAGGTAGATGGAGTTTTTAATACAGCAGAGTGCCTCCTACCTCTTTGTAGTTCACCTTGGGCTCCATTCTCTTCCGCTTTCTGCCCTTCCCGTGATGACTCTGACTGAGGAGGATCCATTTTACAACCTGCAGGAGGGAGAATTGGGGGGATGAAGGCGGGAAAAAGAAGAGCGTGGAAAGGTAGACAAGTGGAGACAGCAAAGTAGCAGGGTTTGAGTGAGAGGGAAGAGAAGCGTGAAGGAGAATCAGGAAAAAAGGGGACAACCGCAGAAGAAATTATGACAGGGTGTAATGATGACACAGACAGAGAGAGAGAAAGAAAGAAGGGGTGTACAGTAGAGAAAAGAGTAAATAGCAAGAAGTAAATGTAAACCAAATCAAATCTCCATGAAAAAAAAGTAAGGTTAACAAGCCATTAGCATGACAGGCACAATAATATATAACAGTCTACAGCTCCTTCCTTCTCACAGGCTCACACTCACTCGTGCTCCAACCCAAACAAGTGGCTGAGACAAAAGAGTTCTAGTGAAAGTATGTTGTTGTAACAGAGCCTGGAGTGCAACAGCCAATCACAATCAAGGCCAAAGTCATATCTACCAACATTGGTTCCTTTTGTTCCACATGAATTCACAGAAACAAACGACTACAGGAAAAGTCAAGTTCCCAAAAAGTATGTAAAGTAAATGTAAAGTACGTAAAGTAAATTAATCACGTCTACAACGCAGTCGCTTAAGCACAGTTCCTGTTTTAAGGTAGTTAAAATACAAATAATTACTTTTTACAGAGATACAACTGGGAGAACTGGAAAATATAGGCAAAGCAATTAAGAACAAGATGAGAGCTTTAAGGGAAATCTGATAGGCTGCACAGAATGACACGCAACAGATGTAGAGCGCTGTGTGCCGCACTTCACTCAGAGACAGACAGAGGGAGAGACTGAAACGAAAGTGAGCAGATGAGAAAAAGAGAGGTAAAGGGAGTGCAAGAGAGGTAGAGATAAGAGATGGTATCAATCCCTGTGAAGCGGAGGACACAACCAGATGGTAGAAAAACAAAGCAAGTAAAGAGAAACAGTGGCAGAGTAACACACCGAAGGAAACGAGGCTGATGGGAATCAGGTGACAATCATATCAAGCAATCTAAGGTGCAATATTTGAAAATCTGAGTGCTTCCTTGCCACTCCCTGAAGATGAGAGGAAGGGACAGGGAAAGAAAGAAGAGGAGGAAAGAAAGAGAGAGAGAGAGAGAGAGCCTACCTCTGCTTTGACTTCTTCCACCAGCCTTGCCTGCGACCACACGGCGCTCCTTTCATACAGCCACTGAACGAGAGAGAAGAAGGGAAAGCAGTGAGCCAGGGGCAAGTGATCAGGACAGAGTGGAATGCTTTGCAGAGGCAGAGAAGGAGAGAG